GTGCACCAATAGAGAGTTTATTCTTGTTACTTGTTTATATAATTTAATAACTGTATTATTCAACATTTTTTTCGAGCGAGCGCGAGACTCACTGCGGGCTGTCTTTCCGTTTATCCGCGACAGCCGTTCCTTTTCTACACGTCCTTCTGCCCCGCCGACGGAAATGGCGCGGAGGTGGCAAGGAGGTCGCGTATAAAACGCGGGTATCCTTCGAATTATGCGATCCGCGAGATCTCGACTCGCGCTCGCGCGCCGGTTACGATCGCGAGGATCGATTGCACGGGTCGAGGAAAAGTACACCGCTCTTCCTTCCCTTCCTCGACCTCCTCCAGCTTCCCACCTCTTTCGCCTCGCCGAGCGAGTGCGTCAGACTCTTCTTCTGGCCCGCTCGTTACGTATTCATTTTGCAATTATTACGTTCTCGCGCCTGGGATGCCGATGTACATCATCGTCGATTAACGAACGCGAGATTTATGTAAAGAAACGGATATATGACGCGCCGAGAAGTGTAGAGAAATTGACGATGTACTCGCGAATTTATTTGCGTTATAGATGTGCATATATTGTGTGAGTCAGTAACTGTTGTCACTGTCGAAACACTTAGGAAAAAGCATACTATAGTAGTAACACACACTTTTGTTTTCTAACAAGTAAACCTACCCAAAACCTACACTCCGATTTCTTTCTAATTTGGCAAAAATGTAGAAGTACAAAAAATATTTATGTCATATTTTTTCATTTTGACCCACTTTGGGTTTCACGGGCAATTTATAGCTTTTTAATATTCTCCTATCATCAATAAGTCCAACAAAAATGCATAATAAATAAGATTGAATATAAAATATAGGCGTTTTTGGTTTGCTGATTATGAATATGAAGTCAAATGTGTAAAATTATTTGTATAAATAATAAAATGTTTAAACGAAACATGTAAAAAGTTGAAAAAAAAATTATTTATATAAATAATTTCTCGGCTGAGATTTGAACCATTTTTGACTAATTTAGTACAGATTTGAGATATTTTGGAATCTCGGCTAAAGAAATTTAGAATGGTTCGTGTCTCAGCTATGCTGATTTTGTTAAAATTTTAATTAAAATTGCCGGATTCCTCTCTCTCAGTTTGGCTGAGATTCGAACGAAGAATTTTTGACTAATTTAACATAGATTTGAAATATTTCAATTGGAATCTCGGCTAAAGAAATTTAGAATGGTTCATGTCTCAGCTATGCCGATTTTGTTAAAATTATTCAACTATATCTTGTATTCAATTTTATTTCTTATGCATTTTTGTTGTACTTGTTGACGATAGGAGTGAAAACATTAAAAAGCTATAAACTGCCCGTGAAACTCAAAGTGAGCCAAAATGAAAAAATATGATCTAAATATTTTTTATACTTCTAGATTTGTGCCAAATTAGAAAGAAATCGGAATGTAAGTTTATTTGTAAGTAGAGAGATCGGGGCTAGATGTCTTATATCTTAGAATTTCGAAGTTACAATTTCTCAAGCAACTAATTATTGTGACTGACTGCATAAACATGATAGAGGCGACTTATTCTATGCATTAATGCCCGCCACGACTTTGTTAACCATATATTTGTCTTGTAATAAATAATTAATAACCAAAATACGAACGTGCAGCAAAACTCTTGTTCTGGTACCGGTTTTTGCTCAGTAACGCAAAATAAAGAAGGCAACGTACAAAACATGTACACTGATTGGTAGTTCCAGAATCTGCGCGAAAGGTTTCCATAACCTTCCTGCCGACTCTTAATTATGGGCCAACTTTACTTCGCCCGCCCATATGCTCTATTTCAATCATTTTATAAATGAAAATTGCGTTTATTACTAGAAACAATAGAAAGAAAATAAAACCTATGTCTTTGCCTCGGTGTATTTCGAATTTTCGAGGATTCATTTCACTGAGGAAATCAAAAGAGACGGCGAGCGCGGATGCTTATTTCTTCCTTGAAAGCGGTACTCGAGAGTGAAGAAAATAGAGAATCTCTCATCGCGGTCTTTCTTTGCCCAGGCATAATGGTGATGGATGAGATTTTCCGCGAATTAACATGTTAAATGTCGCGGGTAGAAGCGTGCATTGCGTAATTGCAAATGAAACGGTGTTACGACAAGGTTACAGCACACTTCGTGCGTCTTCTTCCCGTGAGTCGATTCCACACACGAGCGGAGAATTCTGCTTCGCACAAAGCCATTTCCCACGCGTCTCCGTGTGCCGACGTGAGTTAACGCGGCAACGCGACCAGACAGCCAATCGCGCGATTGTCAGCGAACGTTTCCCAGTTTTCGCTTTTCATCCTTTCGCATCCCACGCGAATCTCTGCTGAGAACCACAACTGCAACCCTCTGTGCGACCGTCCGTGTGCCGAAAAAACTTCCCTTCGAACGCGAAATTTCGGCGGCTGCATGCGAAAATTCCCACTTTTCATCTCACCGTGAGAAGAAGAGAAACTTTCGCTACTCAATCTTCTTCCAAGGAAAGATTGTGCGTCACAGCCAGAATAATTGAAGCGTATGAGACGAGGATGAAGTAAGCCGTTATAACTCTCTTGTGAAGTGAAATAAATCTCAGAAACGTCCACAAATGGCATGTATCGAAGATATAAGCTCATATTAATAGCTGTTACCTAAAATTTGTCTCAGATACACTTTCAGGCCCGTATTAATGGTCATTACTTGAAACTCGCGTCTAAGTAAAATATTCAGACTCGAATAATTATTATGAAATTTTTATTTGCGTCAGTTAATGTATGCGATATGTTATATATTTGAATAGGCATATATTTTAAAAGGATACTTAGTCCATCTATATATACAGAGTGGCCCACTTAAATCGAACACCTTAAATTTTCACTTATTTTTGATGATACGGAAAAATGATTTAGATGAAAGTGGAAGGACGAGGGGGACACGTTTTGGTCACATTTTTTTTCTAGGTGAAGGCGCTAAAAAGATATGAGGGTCACCTTCACTTTTTTAAATGAAATTATGATTTTTTTATAAATATGATTCCTTTATTTATTTTATGTATAAAAATACTAAGAAGTATAATTGTCGGAAAATCAATAGTTTACGAAATATTTTATACTTCCACCCTTCCACTTTTATCTAAAACATTTTTCCGTATCAAAATAAGTGAAATATTCAAAGTGTTCGATTTAAGTGGACCATCCTGTATACTCTAGAGAGTTTCAAAAAAACACAAAAATTGACTAAAAACCCTGTATTGATAAAAGCGGCAGAGAACTATTATTTTATAAATAAAGAAACCATAAATTACATTATCTCATTATCGTGAAAATTTTATAATTTTTTATGCTCACCAGTTAATGTAGTGAATTTTAAAAAATAAACCTCAGTCCTTTTTAGAAAATATAACCACGTTTTCATCATTTTTCTTACGTACACTTTCTATTCATTTTTCTTACTTAACACTTGCGTATCAACTCATCATTTATAGGAGATAAATATATGGAGAAAATAAATAAAAACAATATGTGTGTATAAGACTTAAACTTAAAAAGAAAGAGAGTGACTGATAATATAATGAAAGAAAATAGCAACGTATGTGGAGTAGGATGTTTATATAGAATGTTACGGTCTCGGTCAAGGTGTACGAGCTTGTTTTGAAAACTTGTTCTTATTTCAATAAATTCGTAGTTCGTAGTCGATTATGTTCCTCTTAGAATGTCATATTTTACATTCTGTTTTTCATGTTTACGCGCTAGAACGAATGGTTTTAAAACTACAACTCTTTTGCTTCAAAAAGTTATAAATAGGGAATCCGGCAAAAAAACTCAATTTTCTAAAATTCGTGTTGTATCTTTAAGAATATAACGATTCATTTGTAATAATGATTCAGCTGAAAAACTGACATCTAACTCTAAATTTAAGTCTGAGCAAATCTGCCTGAATAATTTCCTCATGTAAGATATTCGAATTTTAATTCAGAGTTAGAGATTTGAATTTTCTAGAGTTGAGTCGTATAATATATTTGATATTATATCTGTAATTACCACTTAAACAAAGAGTCACGTTTAATTTTGAAATCTGATTTGGATTTCCTCAGGATTTCCTCAGATTTGAATGTACAGATAGATGTCAATTTTTCAGCTGAATCGCGATTACAAATGCAATGTTGCATACATATTGTTTGTTTCAAGTAAAAAATTCAAATCTAACTCTAAATTCACGTGAGTGAATATATGAGTATCTCATATGAGTATCTCACGTGAGGCAAGTTACAAGTAACGTCTATCAATGTGTGGGCCCTGAATGTATATATATATATATATATATATATATATATATATATATATA